TATATATATGCGTTTTCATTTTGATCGGGATGGAGAGAAAATGTAGATGTAACCATGGTTGTTGGAAGGCTGGTGGCAACTGAAACAAGTAATCGAAATAAAACAGACGACGTATTTGAACCAAACACAAATCAGTTTAATCCTTAAATAAAACATAATTTCTGTTATGTTATATAATAATTAAATAAATAAATAAATAATCGGTAGTAGTAGTAGTAGTAGTAGTAGTAGTAGTAGTAATAATAGTAAGTAGTAGTAGCAGTGGTGGTGGTGATGGTAGTAGTAGTTATAGCAGGTGAGAGAAAGTAACGGTAGTAGTAGTAGTAATAGTAGAAGTAGTAGTAGTAGTAGGATGGTAAGTAAAGTGAGTAAGATGTTCTTTTTTTTTCCTCTGTAGTGGTACGAAAAATTAAGTAGATAATAAGGGTGTTAAGGTTTTACACGTGGCTACTTTACGAGAGACACAAAAAATATATACGATCATAATTAATAATAGCAATAATAATAATAATAATAATAATAATAATAATAATGACGATGATAATGAGGATGATGGTGGTAATGATGATGGCGGCGATAATGACAATGACGATAATAATGAGTAATAATAATGGCAATGATGATGGCAATAATAATAATAATGACGATAATAATAATAATAATAACCAGAATAATAGGTGTAATTAATATACGTGATAATAATTATGAAAAGGAGAAAATTTATCGTTTAATATTAGTAAACGTCGAAACTGTGATTCCTTACGTACGATTCGTCCCCCGTTTAAAAAAATCGAGATTTCCACGCTTCGTTTCTTTCCGGAAAATCATTCCAACTACGATCGTATATACATACAGATATATACATATGTATTATCTCGCGACCCCACGGTTATATTCAGCTACGCAAATTTCGCCCACCCTCCGCGTCTCATCTCATTACCATTTCCTATTTTTTTCTTTCTTCTTTTTTTTTTTTTTTTTTTTTTTTTTTTTTTTTTTTCTTTCTTCCCCCACCTCCCAGTCTTTCACGACGGATCAAGGATCGACGCGAGAAGCGCGATCGAAGGAACGAGGGGCGAATCGTTTCAGTCGAATAGCTTCTCCTTTGTTTCTGACGCCTGTTACACATGCCCATTGCACGCGCCGACGCCAGTTCGCTTTTATCAGCCGACCGGTGTATAATTTGCACTAATCATCGAGATCTTGTTCGCCCCGTGGACACGTCGATCGCGTCGTTCCTTCCGAGCCCCCGATAGATCGGGGGGTGCGCGCGTGACCGACCGATTCACGAGGTTTTCCAATAAATTAAATAAAATCTTAGCAGAAAGCAACTGTTGCTTAAGGTTCAAATTACGTTTTTGGGAGAGCGGGCAGGTGTATCGTCGCGCTCCTGTGGAGCTTTGCTGCTTTCCTCTTTTTTTTTTATCTTTTTTCCTTTTTTTCTCTTCTTCCACGAGCGAAACAGCCTACACCTCGCTCCCGGACTAGACACAAGAAGGTACACATAAATAGGACAACATATATATGTGTATATATATATATGTATATATATGCTACGCTTTTTTCTCTCGCGTTATACTATTATAAACCTAAGAGCTTAAGAAATTCTCGCTTTACCCACGATTAAGTACTTACGACCCGCGCTCGTTCGCGCTAGACCCCAAATCACTGTTGTACGAGATACCCGAGATCGAAATTTCCGATATTACCCGATATTCGTCGATTTATCCTCCGTTTGAGAGGAAAATACGATTTCATTGCTATTCATAGAATTTTTCGTTTCCGATGACGCGTTTCGTCCCATCCAGGGGAATTAAATTCCACGGGCCAGCGCGAGCGACACGCGGTTCGTTTACCTTACACGTCGTACCACCTAAAACGCGCCCTCTTAAAAATCGGCCGTCTGATTAGCTTACTAGTCTAAAGAAAGTTTTTCTCGATCTCTGTGTGGAGAGGTTGTTAAGCGCGCGGCGCCATTTTGTATGCCCTGGCGCCGCTTTGCACGTAGACTAGACACGTGTTTCCCGACGATCCGGAACCCCGTTTTTCGTCGATCGTCTTTCTCGATCTGCCTGTATCACATATCCGTGCACCGTCGCCAAGTGTTTCCTGTTCAAAACCGTCGTTCCAGCCTCGTCGCGAATCGCGCGGACCTTCCTCGCAAAGAAGCGACACGACGCACCCAATCTGCGTACCGTATATATATATATATATAAGTAAACCGTCTCTATGAAATATCGTTTTGTACGTTGGACTTTTTTTTCCTTTGAATATTTTCGTTAAAAAAGGGAAATCGAACGTTCGTGTTTATAAAAATCGGAAATATCCCTGTCGCGACGGGGAGGAAGATCTAACCCTCGTTCGTTTTCTCCCCGCTGCGGACAGCCTCTCTCTCTGTACGACGTATGCGTGTGTCTACGCGCGTGTATGTGTGCATGTGTGTACATGTGAAGTGTCTTTGTTAAAAAGTTGGCTGACAAAGTTCTTCTAAAACGTCCAAGTCGTGGACGGTGCACATTCGAGGGACACTAATACGCGATGCTCGGTAAAATCAGACTCTGTACTCAAGAAAGCACTTTGTACTAGCTAAGATCTTACACGTATACGCACTATCTCTAAGTAAAAGTTAAAAAAGAAAAGAAAAAAAAAGGGGGGCGAGAAAATCGGGAAAAAGAAACCGAAAAAATGAAAAAAAAAAAGAAAAAACGAATATTGGACACTCTTTGGGCAACCAGCAGAGAAGTACGAGAGCTTGTGACTAGCAAAAAAGAAAATGTACGACGCGTCGCTGCGCTACAACGACGTAATCCCTCGGGTCACTGTTGCGACGCGTTTCGATATCTCCCGATGCGTGGCGTCGCGACGTCGCATCGTTAACGTATAGCACGTAAGCCCTAAAATATCTTCTTAAATAGATAATAGTCATTATACTTCGCATTTCGGTACTCGTCGAACGGTGACTCGTCCTTAATTCAACTACGGATTAAGAAAGTTTAGATTCTTTAAGTACGTTTAGTCTCACTGGCTAAACAGGAAAAAGAAAAAGGGGAAAAAGATCGTATTCGTATTGACGAAATGGATATTCCTAATCTCTCCGTCGCATTCTCGCGTTTCGAAAATCCCGCGCAACAGCCGGGTTTCGGTGCTTTCGACTATCGGTATTCCCGTTTCTCTTGTATCCTCTACCAGAGAGCGACTTGCCTCTTTCGACACCTGGACCGATCTATACCGATCGTCCCCGTCCCGATCTCTCTCTTTCTCTCATCTCTCTCTCTCTCACTCACTCGTCTCTCCTTTCTACACCATTCCTCTACAACCACCTACTACTACGAACTGTTTATCGCTGTCCATGCGTGTGTTCCTTGATCCTTTCCTCGATCGAGAGGATCCAGGGTAACCGATCCGATCGGGAATACGCGAGACGCTGTCGCGTCGCCAGGTTGCTTTTCTCTCATTCGTCTCGGGTCGTCGGTGATTCTAGAAAAAATCAATCAGGCCCTGCCTTCTTTGAGTTTCGCTTCAATCTCACAGCCTGACGTCGTCTTTGGTCGAACAGAGAGGAACCTCTGGTCCCCTCTTTACTCCTCTACTCCTCTCGTCGATCTGATACACTCGAGACAAGCTTTCCAAAATCTTTGCGAATCCGCTAGCAGAGACGTCCGTTCGCAGCCACGGTGCTCGTGCGACCGCGTACGCATACATAAATCGGCAGTATGTATACACGACGTTCACGAGCAGTCGCACGGGACGCCGTTTCGCGACGCCGACGTCCTTCTCGTTCCTTCTCGTTCCTTCTCGTTCCTTCTCTCCTCTGATCCGCTCCGGTCCGTTTCTCGTGGGACGACGAAGCGTCACAGCTCCGCGAATCCCGCGAGAAACGAAAGCGGACACGACAGGACCTCTCGCGTTGTCCCTTCTGACGTGCACGAAAACATGGTGGCTGGAGAGAAGCGAGTGGCCAAAGAGGGAGAGAGCGACAGAGGGTGAAACGATGGTGAAGGAAGGATAGAAAGGAAGCAGAGCTCCCTCTGACCTTTCCGCTTCGATCCGACACAGTGGTGAATAGTTAATATAATCGGGCGAGTGAACGCATCGCGACCTACCTCTCTCTCTCCCCATCTTCGTCCTCCTCGGCTCTCTACATCCCTCTCCGTCGCAGCCACGTCACACCCGCATCGCATCCCTTGCTCGGACAGACACACGTATACACGCACACACACGCACGAGTATCTCTTAGCATTCTCCCCTTTCTTCTCTTTCCCTTTTCTCTCTCACTCTCTCTTTCATCTCCAACTCTCTATCTCTCGGCCCGAGTGTTCTCCAGGGAGCCCAGCATCCTCTACGTATTAATCGGAATCGTATTCGTCGTCGTGGTTCTCGTAGTCGTATCTGCCTCAACGATACTTCGAGGGGGCCAGATGCCTAAGCATTATGTCGTAGGTGGTCCTATCCAAATATTTCAACTCGCGATTCCACTGATGCTGCAGCAGCAGCCAGTCGTGTTGCTGTCGATGGTGGTTATGGTGGTAGTGGTAGTGGTAGTGGTAGTGGTAGTGGTGGTGGTTGGTGGTGGTGATGGTGGTGGTGGTTCTGGTGGTGGTTGTTGCCGTGATGATTCTCCCCGCGATCGCGACTGTTCAGGGCGTTGATCACGGACTCGTCGAGGAGACGGTGGTGGTGGTGATGGTGGTGGTTGTGGTTGTGGTTGTGATGGTCGATCTTCTTAGCGGAAGCATGGGCAGTTGCGGTGGTCGCCGTCGTTGTACCAAGCACGGCTTTGGTAGCGGGACTCGTCTGACCGATCACGGCCGCGGCTGCCGTCGCAGCCGGTGTTGCTGCTGCTGTTGCTGCCGCCAAAGCCGGTGCTGCTGCTGCTGCTGCTGTTGCTGCTGCTACTGCTGCTGCTGCTACTGCTGCCGCCACAGACGGCGTTGTTGCTGCTGCTGCTGCTGCTGCTGCTACTGCTGCTGCTGCCGCCACAGACGGCGTTGTTGCTGCTGTTGCTGCTACTGCTGCTGCTGCTGCTGCTGCTGCTGCTGCTGCTGCTGCTGGTCTCTTGTGTCCGATGATGGTGATCGCGGTATTGCTGCTGCAGCTGCTCGTCGTCCTACGCCGCCTTGCTCTTGCTCGTCTTGAAGCTCACTTGGAGAACCCGGTTACCAAGCGTGTAACCGTTCAAGCTCTGGATGGCGACCACTGCCTCGTCATAGTTGGTCATCGTCACGAAACCGAAGCCTTTGCACTTGTTCGTCTGCAGGTCGCGGATCACTTTGACCGATTGGACGGCGCCGAACGGACCGAATAACTGCCACAGCACGTTCTCCTCGGTCTCTGGGGCGAGGTTGTACACGAAGATGCACCAGCCGGAACCGTTCATCGCGTTTCCGGGTAGCATAGAGTTCGCCAAGAGATCACCTGCCAGCGGACTGTACCTGCAACATGTCGGTTGATCGTATGAAAACGAACGGCCATCGGGGGTCGATCATGTGCTCGTGCTTCGATCGATGGGCTTCGCTCGTTATCTCGCGTTCGCGACACGAGGTAGGAAAAACGTTCTGCGTTTTAGCGGAGCAGTGCCGTGTAACGCGTCTGCCAATTTCGCGCGGTTCTGCCAATTTTTCTAATTCCTTTTCTTCCTTCTTCTCGCGCGTTACGCTCCGTGAAATACGGCACTACCCGACGCTAGAACTTCCTCTGATCGTCCATATACGGAAGAATCACAGATTTCGTAGATCATTCTCGATTCGAAAATTCCCTAGAACAAATGCGACTCGTCTAGGAAACTTTCGCAACGCACCGCTACTCCCTTCGATCACGCAATCGCGGAGAGAATTAAAGTCGTGCAATTGAACCGAGTCGCTGCTGAAAGCTTGCGCGGCAAGCTTTCGTATCCGACGAAAAGCTCGAGTTTCGCGAAACGGCGGAAATAATCTCGAAAAGGGTAACCGGCGTCGCTTATCCGACCAATTATCGCGTCGCGGGCGGAAAAATCGTCGCTTTCGTTGGAATTAATTAGAAAAAAAACGGGACTCTCGACGGGGGAAAGTAATCGTTGAGAAAAAAAGAAAAAAAAAAAAAGTGTTGCCCAAGACTGCATGCAATTCTACGCTAAAAGCGTTCTAAACGAACAGGGCGCGACTCGATGCTGGCTACTCGACGGAATTTTTAATTAGAAACGCAGTGGACGAGGGCGGTGGCGAGACGAGGGGGCAACAAAGGGTGGGAAATCGTGAAAAGAAAATCGAGGAAATTCGCATGCACACCCGCACGTTAATCGGCATGCTGGATATCACGAGACGAGGTGAGTGCGGGGTGAGAGAAACACGTTCACGGGGCTGGGTATATTTACAGAGATGTAAAAATGTAATCTACGTACCTACTTGACGTCACAAGCCGCGTTAAAACAGGGCACATCTCAGTGAGTATTCATTATAGGGCCGAGGTGACAGTAATTGCGTACGCATTCGTTACGAACGCTCATTAGGAACCGCGTCTTTTATATGCACGCGTATGTACAACGCGTCTTCGTTGGTTGGGCTGGCTTCCTCTTTAACCACGCCTCCAGTGAACCCTAAACTTGTAAACTACGTCGGTGTCTCCTCTAGGAGCGGTCCATCTCTATCCAGAGTGTAGTACGTTCGTTTATTTCCTTTCGTCCGATTATTCGAGAGACCAAGATGGCCGACCAAGTTAGGGGTTCGCTGTTGCCGCGAGGCGTTCCGTGAAAGAGGAATCCGCGTGTTGTATTCAATTGGCCGATATGTACACTCGTTTGACTATCGTTTAATGTTCCGAGGACTTCTAGAAACGTTCGATCGAACGTTTGTCCGATTTGGTAGACAAAAGTACAAAGCAAGGAGAGAGATCGGTTGATCGACGATCGAGCGTTTCTCTGGCTGCGGAAGTCGACACATCGGTGCATTGTTCTCTAACGATAATCGTGTGCGGTTCTCTTGCATTGGTGTGTGCCAACAAAAATACATATACCTATATATATGTATATATATTTATAGATATAAATCTATGATTCACGTGAGTCCACGTGATTGCTCTTTCGGAGATCGTGCACCTAGCCTCGCCCTCAGCTCTATGCCAACGATCCAGTGAAAAGCTGATCTTCCGATTTGTGTACTGCCAGACAGATTGGTCGTCGTTCTCACGCTGTTATGTCACGGAAAATTCGTCATGCACGAATCTGATCGTACATCCCTCCACTTAATCTCGATTTCCAAAGGGACGATCGGGAAAATGGCGACCGATCGCCGGCACAGAGACCGAGATAATCGCAGGTGCACGGTCTCGAGTCGAACACGACCGACGAAGACAAAGAACGAAAGAAAAGAAACGGTGAAAAAGGAGAAGAAAATGCGAGCCTGTCGAGGAACGTTGATTCGAGTCTCTGTTTGCAATTTTTCGTGTTCTTTCTTTTTCTTTTCGACACGGCGGTCCGTAGTCTCGCGGCGATCTCTTTAATCGTTAATCTATTAACTCCTCTTTCGACGACGATTCGGGAAAATCGGTCGAAATCCGTCTGTACAGTCCGTACACGTGTGACTATATATTTCGTTTGGATTATCGTTCGGAAGCTTGAAAGCTAGCAGGTAAAAGAAAAAAAGAAACATCTACGGTCTTCCACGCGATAAATCAGAGCGAAACTTATCATATTCGTACACGCGGAACTGAGAGTAAGTTTAATTAAATCGACAGAGGTGATCAGAGAAAACGAACGAGGTAGTCGAAAAAAAGAGAATGAAGGCAACTTTCGTAGACTTTTCTTTCGAGCAGCAAAAAAGGAAACGAGAAAGTTCAAGTCAATCGAAATTGCACACCCGAATCGATTCGCATTCTCGAGAAAGCGCTAAGATATGCTCTGTGACGTTGTTGGTGGGTAGAGAAGCGTTTGAAGGATAACGATTAAACGAAACAAAAGGCAACGAGAAAGAAGAGAAGAGAAAGTAGAAGAATGTGAGACGAGGGGGGAAGAGAGAGAGGGGCCTTAAAAATTTCATACAAAAAATTCCGGTTAAAACGAAAGTTACGGAAAAAGCGAATCTCTATCGCCTTCGATAGGTCCGAATAATTTTTGCAAAACAATCTACGTCCGTATCGCGCGATTCGAGTATACTTAGGAAACGAAAAGAGAAAAAATCGAGAAAAATGGAAAAAAAAAAAAATAGGAAAAAAGAATGGCTGTCCACGACGATTCGCGAAAGTGAGAGAAACGAGCGCGAGAAAGGAATAGAAAGCACGGTCGAACGAAAAAGAAAAGAAAGAAAGGTTTCTCCATATGAAATTTTTAACGCGGGAGCGTGTGTGGAAGGTAGTAATAGAACGAAGCCACGCAAGAATAGAAATTAATAATCGAAAAATGAAAAACCGGGAGGGAACGTAGTGGTAGTAACGAAAAAAATACTGACCTCTGTAAGCCTTTGTTAATGGCAAGCATGGCCTTGCCAGTGCTAAAACAAAACACAAAAAGAACAACGTAAGAAGAGAGATACTCCGGGAACGAGCCAATAAAGTCGGGATAAGAGTCAGTCGCTTCCTTGTGCTTCCGTTTTCTTTTTCTTTCTTTTTTCTCTCACGGAACTACCATCTATGGTGCCTCTCCGTTTTCTTTTCTCATCGTGGATAACGCAATAGACGGGGATAGATAGATAGACGTTAAAAAAAGACAGAGAAAATTTAAAAAGACAAAGAGAAGGAAACGAATTGCCAAGAAAAAAAAAAGATAAAAAAAATGGAACGAGGGGGGTAGAAAAGAGAAAATAGAATTATGGAAAGAAAACAAGAGACAGAAGATGGAATCTCGTAGAGTACTTCGTTTTCTTTGAGAGGAGAGGAGAGACGGGGAAGCGCAAAATCAAGGGTTGCGGCGTCGCGACGTCGATCGAAAGGGGAACGAAAAAATATGGAATAGAGGCAAGCGAAAAAGCGAAGCGCATCAATCTACAATTTTTTTTTTTTTTTCCTTTTTTATTTCGTCTTTCTTTTTTCTTTTCTTTCTATATTTCTTTTTTCTTTCTTTTCTTATTTTTTCTTTTTCTTTTTCTTTTTGTTTTTTCCTTTTAAGACCGACACACTTGGAATCGTCGAATCTTTGTACTCCGTTCGATTCGATGGATCGATCGAACGTCGCACGGATCTCTCGTCGTCGACATTTCCCGCGTTCGACTGACATGGACATACAGACGGACCTGAAGCACGCACATCCGGGTGTTAAGTAAATGAAACGACACAAGGGAAAGTCTTTGTCGTCATCTTCGTTCGTTATATCGTGTCTCTGAGCGATAATCATTCGTGTGATGGCGACACGCGTGCTGTTCGCAGAGGCACGGAAGCGCGGAACGAAGTATAGACGAGAATTCTTTCTAGTCCGATCGCTATCGACGTTTCTCAACTCCATTTTAATCGATTTCGTCGTCAGCCTCGCATCCACGGTAATGTTTCCGAGGACCATGAAATCGTCCTCGCGAATCGTCTTCTACGAATGAAAAATTATTCAACTTTCGTGTCACATCGTTCGTTTAAATCATACAACATCGTGCCAGAAGATGGGGCCGTCTACGTATATGAACGATACGTGGCCGTATCATTGATATATGTACACGCGTATATGCATATACGTCGTTTCGACGAACCAGCTTACCGTGGATCGCGAAGACAAAAACCAAGAAAACTTACAGAAATAACAGAACGTTTGTATGTGCCTTGCTCCTCCATGTTTCCAGAGTGGTCAAGGATCAGTCTTCTGTCTCTCACGCGCGATCAAATACGATTCTCTCGTGTATATTAATAGACTTACATCTAGGTAATTAGTAATTATTCTTAAAGACCACCTTGTACCACTCGTTCGTTGGGAAAGGGGGGTCGGATGGGCGTTCGGAGGAATGGAATAAAAAAGATACAAGTAAAAAGATACGAAATCAAGGAAATAATCGTTGGTGCTAATGACAAGACGAAGAAAGGCCGGACGACGAAAAGTAAAACGATTACGGTTTACCGCGAACGGACACGCGTTACCGCTGAAATATCGATATCCGAACATCGATCCTGCGGTCGGACGAAAGGTTTCCGACTAACATTCTCGCGTTCCCCCTTTCCGGCGCCCGGTTCCCTTCGATTTCTCCCGGACGAGCTAGCAAGTTTATCAAAAATCTCGCGAAACGGATTATTATTATTATTATTGCGAGGAGAACCGGAAATTTTCCGCGGAACCGTCCTCGAAGACGTCATACCGGCCATTCTTCGCGGCGAAACGGAAAGACCGAGTGAAGAGCATCGATGAGAAATGTGCACTCGAAAGACGGGCAAAGATGAGAGCTGAACCG